TGGTCTTGCTGTCCTGGGGGCCACCAAGGCCCTCTTCTCCCCTGCCACCTCCAAGCAACTCTATCCGAAGAGCACAGCTGTGGCTTCTGCCAGCTCCTGCTCCATGTGCTCAGGAGTTCCAGCCTTAAAGCAGCTGTGGCCCGAAACACTCTAAGCAGTTTTTTCTTTCTCTCATTGTGGCTTCTCCTACCTTCATGAACTCTGTAGGTCTCTCCTCCTCTTCCCCCGAGCTCCAGCAGCCCCAGCTTGTCTGTTGTTACATTTTTATAGATGTAAATCGATTGATTTGTGGAAGAGAGTGATGCTGGGGACCATCTATTCCACCATCTTGACTGGAACTGTGATTTCTACATAACTCTCAAAAGCAGAATCTACCTCTCATATCCTTTTGTTTTACAGGCCTCAGGGGTTGTGGCTCCTGCCCAGGCCATTCAGGCCCAGACCCGAGCGGGTAGTTCACCTGTGGGGCCCTTGAATGAGTTGGCCATTGCAGCCTCTGCCCAGGTGGGGCTCACAGTTACTGCTGGCACAACATTAGCTGTGGTCACTGCCAGTTTGGCTCCAGTGCAGACCCAGATGCGGGCCTTAATGAGCCAGGGGATTGCAGGTGACAGTGGTGTTTTTCTTGTGTGATAGACATGGAAGGGCAGAAGTGAGGGTGCTGCTGTTGAGGCAGATGGTCCCTAAAATTGTTGACCCTACAGCACTGAGTAGAGCAAATTGAGCTCTCTGTGCCTGTGCCTCTCCCACAGCACTGCTGTCCCCACAGGTGAGTGCTAGTGCATGTTGGACTGCTGTCCTCAACAGTGCAGCCCAGGCCACTTTAACCAGATGCTGTCACCACCTTCTATGCAGACCCCAGAACATGACCTCTAGGTTATGTGCAGAAACATCTTGAAGAGACCTGTTAAGGAGAGGGATTTAATCAGTCTTATTTATTGTTACTGCTGTATCCACAAGAATAATGGATTAAAGGAAATCTGCTTAGCAGAATCCCTTTCCATTTTGATCTATATTTCTTATAGATACCAACTTAACTTATTTAAAAACCTGTCCCTGATAACCCAAACTTTAAGACCAACTTTTTCAAAGAAGGAACTTTGTAGCATCATCTAGAATTTTCCCTGTGAATTGGTGAATTTATTTTCCCATAAAGCCATATTAGAGAGATTATAAAACTCTGTCCCTCTCTATCTCAGGCTCACTGGCCACCACAGCACAGCTTCCCAGCAAGGCGCTCACCCCTGCCCACCTCCAGCTGCTCCGGCGGCAGCACCAGCAGCAGCA